GTGTCTCTTTATATCTCTCTCTCTCTCTCTCTCTCTCTCTCTCTCTCTCTCTCTCTCTCTCTCTCTTTCTCTCTCTTCTCAATAGCACCGTCGCGGTTGTGGTGGCGGGCATTTGTGGAAGAATCGAGTCTTTTTCATGCCTTTTGAACGATGTGGTGATGATCGTCCCACGATTGTCATTAGGGCGTTTGATCCCCGGCCACCATCATTCCCATGCATCATCGTAATAACGGACACAACCAGACAGGTCAGAAATCTTGTCCCACCCGATGCGCCGACTGCGGCAGTGTGGGATCAGCCATTCGGGGATGTGTGTTGGTGTCGTTGCTGATCTCCTCCCTATTGACGTGATGTCAAGCCGGCCATCCAGCCACTCTGCGACCGCTGCAGCCGCCGCCGCCCGCCCCGCACCCGCCCAGAATTCTTCGGCCTGACCTAAACTTTTACACAATATCTCCTGAATAAAGGCCGCATGCATTGGAGTTTAGGGTAGGGTGGTGGTGATCACTGCGCCAGACACCTGGCCACCTCGTGGAACAGTAGCTGTATAGGCTTAGGAGCGAGTGAGACAAGATCGTACCTGCAGCTCCTCGTCGCCACAATCTGTGTCCCGAGACGTGGTGTGACTACTCGTCGCGTCCTTTGCAGATGAAAACGAGCGTGATGATGACATCAAGTGCGAGGCTGCGTGCCCGCTCATGCCAATTTGTTCGTGAAAGGCCCATGAATCAGATCCTGTGCTTTTCTGGAAGGTGACCGCCTGCGCTGCCAACTCTTGAGTCGGATGCCGGTGGGGCGGTGGGAAGATGCTGGTTCCCGGGTGATTGGTCTGGCTGACTGCCCTTTTGGCCGGCGGTGAGATGGAACCCCCGAGAAGCGTTTTTCCCTAAGGAGCTGTCAAAAATCGATTTATTCCACGTAACCTATGGTGGTGCATTGCTTATGTGTGTGACATTATTCTCATCGGCTGACCGCATTGTCTGACATTTTCCTTTTCTTCTGACAATGCAGGGGGCGGTGGTGGCATGAACAGCTGTTGTGGCGGAAGCAGTTTTTTTCAGGTTTCTTTTCCTTTGCACGTCCAAGTGATCGTTGCCGCTCCCCTGGCTCGGTCCTGATGTGCGCTCAGGCCTGCGCACGCGCTCGAGTGCCAGAATAACCCAGGATCTGGACAAACGAGGTGTAGGAATAGGCTGACCATGTCGGCCAGCGGGGCCGTGGATCACTTGGATCCGGAGCTCAACGGAGTCTTGCGCTCGCTATTTCGTGACAAGGTGCTATGGCAGCGCGTCCAGGATCTCCAGCTCTTGGTGGCGTGCCCTTCCATTGACGCCCTGGCCGGCGTACAGGTCACGCCAGTCATGGTCCGCCAGCACATTCTTCAACCATCTCAGGTCAAGCCAGGTCAGCGTTCAGCCACCGCGCATGTCAATGTTTCGGCTCGCTTTGCCGCACAAACGCTAACCCTGGCCAGCTCGTAGGCGTCTACCAGTGCTTTGCGGGCGGTGCAGGCGTCGAGCTGACGGTAGCTGGTGGAAAGGTGTGTGTTCTTTGCACCCTGTCTCGGGTTGACTCGCTATTGAGAACCTGTGGCCCAACGACCACTTGAAGCCTCCGTTGAATCTCATGCCAAGCCTCGGGCGCGGGCGCGGGCGCGGGCATTCTTTTTTTTTTTTTTTTGCAGATTGCGCCGGTCCAGGCAACCCAGGAACGAGCCGAGTGGTTTGCCCAGATTATCTCGGAAGAAAAGTATCATTGCGATAACGGCATCGGAGTCGTCCGTCTCATCTGCATTGATCGCATCCTGGGCCAGGCCCAGACGGTAGGCCCAGATCGATCCCCGCGCTCTGACGTTTTGTTTGGTTTGTTGTTGTGTTCTTGCCCCAACGCTGATCCAGGTTTTGCTTTGCACCCCTTGGGCAATGGCCGATGTGTGGAAATTCTCAGGTTCATGCCGAGGCCATTCCCGATTACACAATCGGCCACGAGTGGCTGGCCTGGATTCAGGGCAGCATGCCCGCTGATCAGATTATGGAAATTCAAAAGGACTGCAACGAATTCAACTCGGCCTACGTCATTGGCACGCAAGTATCACCAATGGGCTGCGCTTAAAAGGGCCGGCGGGCTGTGCTGTCTTGGCTCATCTGGCTGCAGCATCCACCTGAGCTCATCTTGACCCTCTGCTCATTGGTATCATCACGCAGAGGTTATTTGTCTTACGTTGTGGACAAGATTGAAATGATGGTGGAGGAGGCGGCCGAATCGATTGACGAGCATTCCTCGGCATTGCAGGCGCTCCCCATGCACGACCAATTGCGCCGAGATATCGCCTGCCGGTGCGAATAGATTGCCGTCATCCACCAGCAACCGCCACCATCTCGCGCGCTCTGTGTCGCCGAGATTAACGCGATGATGCCATGCACCAGACTCACTGCTCCACCGTGGCTCCCACAGACAAGCCGCCGAGGAACTGATCATGATCAACGTGTATCCGTAGGTGTCGCCCGTGTTGGCGGTGAAGGGGGCTGCAGATTGGGGCGCCCGTGCACTCATCTACTCTTTGGCCATGCCCGTGTTTGTGCTGGTTTTGGGGGACGTGAATAGAAAGGTATTTGCAGCACTTGTGAAGGAAACGCAAGGGGCGTGTGATGCACTGGCCGCAGCGCTACGCACACATGCCGGGACAAGCCTCGCAGATGTTGGGGCAGACCCGTCCCTCCAGCTGGACTTGACGCAAGCGGCCAGCGAGTTGCGGGGCATGTGTACGGCCAGCTCAGCGCTGGAGAAACATCGCTATCTGCGGTCGACATTGGACCTGATTGCGTGTGCGTCGACGGCCATTACAGCAGACGACCTGATTCCGCTACTCAGCTTGGTCATGATCAAGTGCGGGGATTCGACGTTACCAGCTCAGCGTCTCTTTCTGGAGCGTTTCGACGTGACTGGGGCCTTTAAGGAGCAGGAGGGGGTGTTTTCGAGCGAGCAGCAGTACCGACTGACAACCCTGATTGCAGCGCTGGAATACCTGAGCAACCCCAATTATCCGGAGAGCGCCGATCCCGTCGAGGCCGAGGCCGAGGCCGGGAGCCTGGGAGGCAGCAGCCATGGCACGGGCTCGAGTCTGGGGCCGGCCAGCGGGAGTCACTCGCACAACACGAGCTGGGAACAAGCCTCAACGGTGGAGACGAGCGAACGAGCACAGCGTCAGCGTGAGGAGGAGCGCCAACGGCGAGAGGCCGAGGCCGCTGGCCAGGTGTACCTCAAGCCCGTGGACCGGCGCGTCTCAGACAGTGATGTGGGCCCCCTTCTGGCCCGCATCAGCAAACTGGGCATGTAAGCCAGCCAGGTTTCATAGTGACTTGTAGATTGATCAGCTTTTTGTTTTTTTTTATCTTGAGCTTGTTTTTTTTGTTTTTTGTTTTTTGTCTCCATCTTCCGTCTTCCAATTATAATCTACATCCCCCTCTTTCTTCATCATGTTTTGATTTGAAGCGGGGGTTTTCTCAAGACCAAGTGGAGTGCCTTGACCATTCTTTGAAGGCAGCCTTGTCGATCTCGGTGGTCATGGAGACTGCCACGCTTGCCTTGTTTGCTCGGCACACAACATCAAAAGGGGAACAAAGGGGGGCGCCGGTTTTTTTGGGGAAACGGCGGTTGGGGCACGTCCACATGCACTGCTTCGTTTGTTGCTGATCTGGAACGGCGCGCACGATGCCCCCAAACCAAAGCCATCAAGGTTGTCCGCGTCAACATCCCGAGGTGAAATTCAAAGTGTGAGGCTTGTAAGCTGCTTCACGTTGCCCGAGTGCCTCTTGGTGTGGCACCCAAGATTTAGCTCCTTGACGAGCCAAACCGATGTCGAGGTTCGCCAAGGGCCAAACTTAGGTTAAGCTTGTGATTACAACATGCCGAATCATGTGTTGCAATCCAACTCGCACAACACACAGAGCTCAAGGCGTGCGCTTCTTTGGATTCCATACTGGAACCTAATCACATCAATGTTTATGCAGTCATTTTGACACTTGGTGCTGTTTCTCACCGCCTGTCATACGTGGTTCCATTGCGACATATTCGATAGTTGTCGCGGCCTTCTGGAGGTTTATTGCAGTCGTATGACATGCCAATGCAAGAGGCATGTCATACTACCCCGCTTCGAGAAGTTCGTGAGCAAGTTCGAGCGGACGCACATGTAAGCCGACCTGTTGGCGACGGCGCCGGACCCACGCAGGAATTTAGGGGATGGGTGTAAGGTATTGCGAGTGCTGACACAAGAATTCTCCTGCATTGGTGCTTCGCGACGGTTCCCTTCAACGCGACGAGTAGGCCTGCGTGCGGTGGGTTGGGACACACCACCCACGCGTGGACCCTTTGGGTTTCAGGACTGGCTTCCGGAGTGGTTGGCCCTTCTCTGGTTTCCGCTCCTGAATGTTGATGTACCTCTGACTACACCTTTGTTTTATAGCGTAGACCAGATGGAACGACAAAGCATTCTCTGGCTTGCCGCTTGCTCCCGCACGACTCTCTGCTCCAAAGTGATCGCATTCTCCCCTTTTTTCAAACGGCCGTTACGTCTCTTCAACCGTTATTCCTCACACCCTCAACCCCACACCCCACACACAGACACATGGCTACCTGCCAACAACCAAACCAAACGCCACACGTGAACACCATCACCCCCACACCCCCAAATCCCCCCTATACTCCCCATGGCCCATTGCCGTTGAAGTTACACCTTGTTGAAGAACCGCGAAACAACGTGTGTGCGTGTGTGCGTGTGTGCGGTGTGCGTGTGTGTGTGTGCGACTTTTCGCTGTGCACAATTCCATGTGTGTGTGTCCTCTCGCTTTTTGCGCCTTTTTTTGTTTATTTTCTCTCTCTCTCTCTCTCTCTCTCTCTCTCTCTCTCTCTCTCTCTCTCTCTCTCTCTCTCTCTCTCTCTCTCTCTCTCTCTATTCGGCTCCATCACACATTGCCACCACCAGCTCTGCACGCTCTCGCTCTCTCTCTCTCTCTCTCTTTCTGTTTCAACATTTTCGGTCTCGTGTGTGTGTGTCTTGCGGCTGCGGGCTATTTCTTGGGTGCCTTGGTCATTTCTGCTGCTGCTGCTGCTGCTGTTGCTGTTTTGGCTGTTGGTTGGTGGGTGTGTGCGGGAGTAAGAGTATGCTATTGGTGCATCGGCGCTGCAAGCCTTGCTAGCGCCGTGTGCCCGCTCCTCTCCTTCCAAGGCTCCACCTTGGCCAGCTCCCCCCGACGTTCCACTCGGATCATTTCCCTCGGCTGGTGCCGCTCATCATCTCAGCGCGACCTGCCCACCATGCGGCCGCACGCCAACGCTCGATTAAAAGATGCGCACTTTCCGGCCTGGTTACAACCGCCGGCGGCGACCGCCAACCTCGCCGACATGATTGGCACCCCCCACACAGGTATGCCCTCCGCCCGGTGCGCCTCGTGGAGCACGTCCCTTGTTTAACCTCATCCTGGTGCATCCTTCATCACCCCCAATAGGCATGATGGTCGCCACCTCGTCTGGACAGAGCCCGTATGGTTTTACCGAGCAAGACCTTGAAGGCACATTGTCAGGAACAGACAACAATGGCGATGACGATGACGATGGCTTTCGCGATGCCTCCTCCCTCACTCGCGATGTCACCTCCAAGCCCTCGCTATCGCATACACCCCGAGCCCAAGACGTTGATGACATGTGGCTTGCACCCCAACATAAGACCGATCTGACTCGGCCCGCCCTTCGGTCGGCCCTGCGCTCCAGCCGACGCACCGCCAATGGCAATGCTAGCCCAAGCACTTCGTCGTCAAAGCCTTCCCGCTCCGTCCGCATCTGCGAACAAACCACCCCCACCCCCGCTGGCCCCAGCCGCCGCTCGGCCCGGGCTCCCCTCAAGAGCCCCGCTACTCCCAAAGACCTCAGTGACAACATGGGCGTCTTTCAGTTTGACGAAGATTTGGTCAGTCGGCTTGCATCCATCCCCGCCCGGTCCCGGCTGGTTGATCTGCTTGTCTTTTCCCTTTCTTCTTCTGTCCCGCTCGCTTCGCTCACCGCCGAGCCGCCCGCCATCCGCCATTTGCTTTGCATGCGCGCCAACAGGACATGGACGATGCCCTCGAACATGCCACTGCCGAGCTCGGCTTGGATGAAGCTGACGACGTCCGCGATCACGAACTTCGCCACCTCATTGTCCTGCTCGAGCAAGGCCACGCCGTACGTCCCCTGCCCGGCCTTTCGGCCCTCGACCCACACCTTTTTGGCACCCTGGCACGTCCACAACAACGACAATGGGGACACGCTCACGCCTCGCGCCTTGCCCTTGCTTTTCCCCGCACTTGCCTTGTGCCCGCAGACCCCGACCTCGCCCACCACCACCGACCCCACGGCGCGCGCCGAGGCATCATCTGTGCCCCTCACAGCGCTCGCCGACGCAGCCGATGATGTCGACTTTATCGGCCACACACTGCTCATCGACCCCGAAGCTAGCAGCACTCGTCGCGGCATTAACCGTCGCTCCTCCCCCCTTCATCTGCCCCAGAGCCACCACCACCGTGGCTCTCCCTCGGCTCATTCCCCCGAAGCCGCCTCCCGCTCAACTTGGTCTCATGGCTCCTGGAAGGTAGGAGGCTCCTTGCTCCATTTCCCACCCCCACCACCATCCCTCCTGGCTTGCTTCTGCAGTCGTCTCACGCTAAAACTGGCTCGCTTCCCCCCCTCCCCCCCGTCATCTACCCCGTTTTTGCTCGTTTAGGGCACACCGGCAAAGCATCGCGCCGTCACAACAGCTGCTCGCCAGCATCGGTCTGGCAGCTTTGGTGGTGCCCGAAGCACGCCCGCCAACAACAGCCTGGGCGGTGGCTTTGTCATGCTTCCCTCCCAGCAATCAACTAGCCTCGGGCTGGACGCCGCCTGCGAGGAAACGACCGACCTGGCCATTGGTTGGATCATGCCCGACCATCCCACCGTCAAGCCACGTGGCAGCTCCATCAACCTGGGCACGCCGGGTCCCCAACTCCTGACCCGTAGCAGCAGCACCCATGCCTCGGTCACTGCCAGCCTCCACCGTCGTCAATCTGCTGGCCTTGTCGAACAAGACTACCATGCCTTTCGCTCCCGGTACGGCACATGCGTCATTTGTCGCCTGAAAGCATCTCGGTTGTAACTGACGTTCGAATCTTTGCCGCTCGCATAGCTGCCTGAACCAACGGACGCGGTCCAAGCCCGGCTGTGCCCCTGACATGCTCTTGTTGTACCAGTTTTGGTGCGCGTTTTTGCAGAAGCATTTCAATCGGTATGGCCGGCCACATGTTGTCTTAGTCCTCGCATGCGTCACTCGATCCCTCACTTGCTCGATCACTTTGCTTCGACAGTACCATGTATCAAGAGTTTCGCACAGTGGTCCTCGAGGACGCGGCCCGCTGCTCTGCGACAGCGAGTAGTGATGCCGCCAAGCAGCGCGTGCAACAGGGCCTTGACCTGCTCTGGACTTTTTACTTTCATGCACTCGAAGCGCGCTTCCGTCCCTGGCTCTATCGAGCCTTTGAGGAAGCCTGTTTGGAGTGTGAGCAGGGTTTTGCCCGCCTGCGCGAACTCGTCCTGACTCTAAAGGATCAAAACGTGGACGTGGACGTGACTCCCGAGATCCAATCGCGACTGGACAAGGCTGCATTTTGCAACCCAACGCCCCTCTCCTCTCCCGCGGCCTCTTCTCCAGCCTCCAGTGAGCGAGTCAGCTTTTTTTGAAACCGTACTGTTTGCTACAGATCTTGCTCCTCTATCCCCGTATTCTTTTCATGTTTTCGCTCTTTATTTCCCCTTGATGTTGTTCCTTGTCCCGGCGAGAGTGCGAGTGCCTCGTTTATGGTGCAATGCTTCCCGCCTTCTCTCCGCTTTGGCTGTGCCAAACCTGATCTGTTTCTCCCATCTCCACCAGACCTCTTGTATACAATGCTTTATGGCAACCAGAGTTTGGTTTTGCCTTTTATAACCTAGTACACCTTCCTGACGCCTTATGAGTCTTTTCTGTACCGCCATTGCTATTTGCATGCCGCCTGTGGCGGAATGGTTGCTGATATCCTTTAACTTCAATTGAAAGAAAAACTTGAAAAATAATTTTTTTATTTCACAGGTACGACACGCTTGCCCCCGGGCTCGGGCAGATTCGAGTCGAGTATCATGGCCACAGGCTCGCCCGTCACAGCGTAAGTCAACCAACCGCTTTTGTCCGCGCAGGACTGATTGGCCACGAGGTTGGGGACGTGAGGTAACGGTGTCGTTGTGTTGGACTTGATGAGCGGCATGACCGAGTAGCAGGCTCGCGGGTGCTGGGTGGGCACTTGAATCGTGACGGGCTGTCCAAACGTGTTGGAATAATTGGTATCCACGTTCCAGATCACAAAGCGACTGCTGTTGTCAAATGACAGGGCTCGGCCTCCAGTTGATGGCCAGTCTGGTGCATCAAGCGTTGCCTGGCCAAAGAGATGCAACAGACTCTGGGCAGCGCGGTAGGCAGGCTTGGGTGAAAAATTAGATCGCACGACGCCAAAGCGGCATTCCTTGTTGGTCGCATCGTCGCAGTCGTCCACCCAATCATACCAGTTAGCCAATTGAACCTAACTCAGCAATACGGGGTAGCAATGGCCGCCCACAACAACGCGTGTGACTGTCAGCACGGAGAGCCCTGGGGACTCGAGGTGGTACGGTACAGTTTTTGGATTTCACGCGCGGTTACTCTGCCACTCCAGTGAAAAGCAGGCACAGCAGGCTTTTGCTTTCTCACCTTGGCCGAGAGCATCGTCAGCCATTGGCGCACGAGGTAAGAAGCTTGAATGGTTTCATCCACATCGACGGTGCTATAACCCCACTCGCCGCTGAGAACGTCGCAGACAGGCTTGGTCTGCCCGCCGTGCTGGGCAATGAGCGTTCGAACAAAGGCCACCGAGTGTGACGACTCGTCCAGATCATTGACGGACTCGGGGACACCTGGGCGATAAAAGTGGACGGTAATAAAGTCGAAGAGTTCCACGATGCCACTGTTCATGATATTTTCAAGCCAAGGCACCGACAAGGCACCACCAAAGGCCAATGCAGGCCCCACCAGCGCCAGGTGGCGGGTGACCGGATCGGCCTTGACAGTGTCGGCCACAATCTTGGCAAAGTTGTAATAGTCAATGTATCCATCGCCGTTCATGGCAAGATTGGGCTCGTTCGTGACCTCCCAGTAGTCGCGTGTGCGATTCCCATAACGTCGCATGGCTGCTGCTAACATGCTGGCAAATGCCTGACATGCAAAGCAGGGCGAGTGAAGAATAGCAATGTTGAATGTCATTCAGATCGCCAACAAAAAAAGAAAAGTCATTCCCTTTCCCCCCCGACAAGAGTACCATATATGGTCGGCATACATGTTGCGCTGAATGTAGTAAGAGCACCAGGCAGGCGCGTGAAACCCAGAAGTGTGAAACGTACCTGTTGGCCCTCTGTGCTGTTGGGCAGTTTGCCGCCGGGATAGAGATGGTTTTGTGGGTGTGCACACCACAGTACGCGCACTTGAGCCGTCTCTGCAAGATTGACAAGGTGGTCGTAAAAGTTCCAGTTGTAGATTCCTAAAGCCAGGGTGCTTTAGCCGAAACCCAGGTGCGCGGTACTGGAAGCCGACGGCCCAGGGGTGTGATGATACGAGGCGCTGCACACCTTTCTGCAGCTCGACCTTGTCCCAATTGAAGGCTGTGCGCATGCTCTTCACGCCCAGCGCTGTAAAGGCGGCCCATTCAGCTGCATTATCCAGTATCAATCAGCGCGTGGCATCATGAAAATGGCGTTGACCTGCCAACCACCGAGCGAGGAGCAACAGTTTGCTCCTTTTTCCCCCCAACGCTGCAACCACATGGCACTGACTTTCATTTGGAAGGGCCTGGTGCATACCCCAATGAGTGTTGACTGCGGCCATGTCCTGCAATACCAGGCCCCTGACGGTACCAGCCATGCACGTCGTCGCCACGACCCATGCCAGCGTCACGCCAACGCAACCCCCCATCAGCGCGATCAAAATTCCAAAACATCAACAAGACCATGCTCATTTGTCAGACGTTTTCTAACGCCGAAAAGTCTGACATTCCGTTGTCAGACTTTTCTAGGCTTATGGGGCAAAGTGTAAGAAATGATGCATTTCCGTACTGTGCACTCGCGTTGAAGAGAGAGAGCGCGACGAGAGAGCGACGAGCGACAGCTGACGACGCGCGAACAGTGCGAGGCGGGAGGGGGGTGGCGGGTGAACACTGACCACCGGCCATGCCGCTGTTGTTTGCATCGGATGATATACGGGTCGTGCCATTGGGGGCCGGACAGGATGTGGGGCGTTCCTGCGTTTTGGTGACCATGGGGGGTCGGACAATTATGTTTGACTGCGGCATGCACATGGGCTACAACGATGCGCGGCGTTTTCCCGACTTTACGCAAGTGGCGCAAGGCCCGCTGACGGATCACATTGACTTGGCCATCATTACCCACTTCCACCTTGACCACTGCGGCGCCTTGCCCTACTTTACAGAGCAGGTGGGCTACGATGGTCCCCTGTACATGACCATGCCCACGCGCGCCATTGCCCAGGTCCTGCTGGAAGATTATCGCAAGATTGCCGTCTCTCGGCAGGGAGAGAAAAACTTTTTCACCCGCGACGACATCAAGACGTGTCTCAACAAGGCCACCACCATCGACCTTCACCAGACAGTTGTCATTGACCAGGACTTTGAGATCAAGGCCTACTACGCGGGCCACGTTCTTGGGGCCGCCATGTTTTATGTTCGCGTCGGCAATCAGAGCGTGGTCTACACGGGCGACTACAACATGAGCCCGGATCGGCACCTTGGTGCCGCCTGGATCGACCGCTGTGAACCAGACGTCATCATTTCAGAGTCCACTTATGCCACCACCATTCGCGACAGCCGCCGCGCCCGCGAGCACGACTTGCTCACCAAGATTACCCAGTGTGTACAGCGGGGCGGCAAGGTCCTGCTTCCCGTCTTTGCCCTTGGCCGCGCGCAAGAGCTGTGCATTCTGCTCGAGACCCATTGGCAACGCACGGGCATGCGAGTACCCATCTACTTCTCCACGGGTCTAACAGCCCGTGCCAACGAATATTACAAGCTCTTCATTACCTGGACCAACCAGAAGCTCAAGGAAACCTTTGTGGAACGCAACCTTTTCGACTTTCAGCACGTTCAGCCCTTTGACCGCAGCTACCTCGAGCATGCTGGGCCTCAGGTGCTGTTTGCAACCCCGGGCATGCTGCATGCTGGCACATCGCTCTTGGCCTTTACCCACTGGTGCGAGGACCCACGCAACATGGTCATTCTGCCCGGTTACTGCACGGCGGGCACTGTCGGCGCCAAAATCATTGCCGGCATTCGCGAACTCGACATTGAGGGCCGCCACTACACTGTACGCATGGACGTCGAATACCTCTCTTTTTCTGCCCACGCCGATGCCAAGGGCATCATGCAACTCGTCTCCCAATCGGGCGCAAAGCAGGTGGTGCTCGTACACGGCGAGCAACAAAAAATGGCCTTTTTGGCTGGCCGCATCCAGCAGGAGCTTGGCTTGCCCTGCCACTTTCCCCCCAACGGTCACTGCCTCACGCTTTCCACCAACAACCCCGTCCCAATCCTGGTCTCCGATGCCTTCCTCCCCGTGGCCAAGGACGAAGTCGCAAAGGCCGAGCCCAGCTTTTCCCCCGCGCCGGGACCCAAGGCAGAACTGCTGGCGGAGGATGTCGAGACGAAGCCCAACCCATCACACCTGCTGGCAACTCCAAGCAAGCCGCCTATGGCTCTGGACGGCCATCTTGGGCTAGGTGCTGCTCCTGTGCCCATTGAAGGTGTGCTGGTGCGCCAGAGCAATGGTAAACTGCGCCTGGTCACCTTCTCCGAGGCGCAGCGCGATCACAATCTGCAACCACACGAGATCAAGACTGTATGCGTGATTGCACTACCTAGCGGGGCCTCCACCAGCTTGGTACATCGCCATATCCTCCAGCGCAGCCAGGCAGCAGGTTTGGCCGTGCTCGACTCGGGGCCAACAACCCTCAAGGTTGGCTTGGTGGACGTTTCTATCGAGCCCAATGAGGTGCGGCTGGCCTACAAGAGTGGCAGCGGCGTGCGAGATGCGGCCCGTCTTCAGGACATTGTTGGCAGTCTGCCTGACATGGCCGAGGCCTCGCGTGACTCATTGTCCAAGCCCCGTCAAACGCCTTTGGCAGCGGCTGAGGCCAGTACAGCAGAGAGTCGGCCGCCCATGGACACTGAGGATGACGATGAGGACGATGTCAATGATGACGACGACGAGGAGGAGGAGGAGGATAGTGACGATGGCAGCGGTGATGATACAGAGGAAGAGGAGGCTGATGACCATGACCAGAGCGACAATGACGACGACGACGACGACGACGACTCAAGCGACCGTCTCAGCAGCAGTCAAGACGAATAGACGCTTCTATAGGCTGATCAAACCTCGACGATGGTTCGAACCGTTTTTGTTCTCTTCTTGTCATCGCATGGTTCACATTGAACCCCTCGTCTTGTGCTGCTGTCTGCTGGCCTTTGCATGCCGTGCGTGCCTGCCGTCCTCGTCCATGTACAACCTAGTGCCTTATCTTTTTATCTTTCACAATCTAATCGACGACCAGAAAATCAAACATGTTAGCGTCATCTCCGTTCAGACGTGCTGGAGCATGACAAAACATACTTTAACAAAACACCTGAATTTCACCTGCATAGTTCAGCACGACCATTCCTGAGAGTCATCCATCCCGTGTTATTGATTGAGAATAAAAGCTACGCAGGACATTTGGGGATAGCCAAGCCAAAACCAGTTTCAGCACAATAAAGTACATGTAATTCCAAACGAATTGCTCGAGCCTGGCTCAGTTTGTAGATTGACGATGGCTGCTCTGACCGACATTTGTTCATATTCACGATTGACAATCGGAGCCTGGATGCGCGCCCTCTGGGTTGTCGGCAATAGATGCGCTGGACAGGGACACCCTGTAAACGGAGCCTTTTCATTTCATGTTCGATGAATGATTTTTAAAAAATTAATTGCAAAGCAGTTCAACTAGGCGAATAGATATGAGGCTCCTCAATTGTGCGTTGGGTGCAGGGCAAAGGTGCTGAGCTGGCCCGGAAGGCCGTGTTGAATTAGGAAAGTACTTTGCAAGCGAAGTGCCGACGCATCTGCCAACGACACCTCAGCGAGCTCAGCTGAGATCCTGGGGGCGAGTGCCGTCGCGGCCACACTCGACACGTCGACGGTGGTATACCCCACGACGGCACCCGAGGCAGGTAACAACACCAGTCCACCCGCGGCAAGCTTCGCCCCAGGTGCTAAAATCAAGCGCTGGGTGGTGTGCCGCTCGGCATAGGGCGCCAAATAGACGGTCACACTCAATTGGAGCTGCAATCGCGGAGTAGATAAGCTGGGTGCTGCTGCGTGGGTTAAGCTGGCGATGCACTGGCAACGCCATAGCTGGAGGAGAGCTGAGAGAAAAGCTGGCTGCTCTACCGAATCCACAGAAACATTGGGGGCTGCAAGCAAGTCGGTGTCGTTGCCTAGACGGAGCTGGCGGTTTTGGGCAGTGGTGGAAAGGGCAACGCTCTGAACATGGGTGCGCACAGAAGGTAGGACCCCGGCGTACAACAATCGGGTGCACCAGTGGAGCCCGGGCCTTTGAACCAAGTCGATACAGACGGGAAGGGCCAGATCGGGGCGCACGCGCTGGACCAGCTTGTGCAGCATGGGCTGTGAGCCTACCTCAAGCACACGTGCCCCAGAGGGCAAATGCTGTAGCATGCTGTGAAAGGTGACGGGGCGTGACAGGCACGCCAAGAGGAATGCCGGACTAAACTCGGCAAAGCTGCCAGGCACCGTAGTGATCCAGGTGACGGCGAGCTTCGGCGATCCAGGGAGCCATCGATCCAAGCTGGCGCGCACACTTTCGAGAAAGCAAAGATTTGCAGCTGTTGCCTCTGGATCATCATGTGTATCCTCAGTCATGTGGAGAGCGGTTTGGGCCGACTGCACCCGCTGCGTGCGGATCTGCAGAGCTGCCAGCTCAGCTTCTAAGCCTGTCAGCGCGCCCGCTTGAACCGCCATTCGATTCAGTGCCACGGTCACGTTGCAAGGTCCGTTGATGCAGGCCACGGTCGCGCCCAGGGGCAGTAGCGGCTCCACCTGGTTACAGGGTGCAGTGACGGCCAGCATGGCGCCGGGGCGAGTGCGAGCCCAGTCACCCATGTGCCAGGCCAGACGAGCAACGAGCGGGGGAGGCAGGCAAAGGGCATGGGCGGCACAGAGCAGCTCACCCAGACTATGGCCACAGCAGGGAGCCTGATCAAGGCCCAGCTCATGCAAAACGGCTGTCAAGCCCAACTGCAACACCACGGAGGCCACAAAAAGGGCGCGCGCGTCGGCATGTAGCTCCGCCGACGCACTCTCACTTGTCAAAAGATAGGGCAAATCAAACGGAAAGCCGTCCAAACCCTGTTGGCAAGCGTGCACGGTGGCCTGGAACACGGGCTCGCGCCACATATGAACATCCACCAAAGTCCACCGAGAGCCCAGTCCGGGAAATAAAAGCCATGGCAGCGTCTGCCCAACAGCCGGATCGGACGGGTTGGTCTGGATGACATGGGCAATTCCGTCGTCCTCAGCCAGCCAAGTGGTGCCTGGCGTGGGGTCGCTTGGCAGTGAGATGGCTCGGCGCAACCCCCATGCATTGTCAGGATCACAGGCAAGGGTCGTGGCAAGGTGAGCTCGATCGGTGGGAGACTCTGCGGCCAATCGCCAGAGGGGAAGACGCTGCCAGATCGCTAAGGATGAGTCGGTAAGACTGGTTGTGAGGGTATTTCGAGCGTAGTCATCGAGTTGTTACGCAGAGGAAAAAAAATGAAGAAAACGACATTGAACGCTGCCAAACAAGTCCATGCATTCTAGCGTCCAAACTAACAAGGTGGCGGGGGGCTGGTGGGGGCGGAAGGGGTGTCCTCGAAGGCAAAGGAAAAGTGAAGGCGCCGATCGGTGGCGGCGCGCGTCTTGGATTTATCAGACCCATCCGGGTTGCCAGACGTCGACATTGGGAGCTCAAACCCAGGAGTTTGTGCTGGTGGCCCGGGGGATGCAGGTTCGGAGCTGGCAACCGGGTGCATGGGGCGGGCTGTAGAAACAGGCATGGTGGCGAGCAACAAGAAGGAGAAAGTGCCATGTCTGGGGCAGATGCAGCGATGATGCGCGCACCTGGGGCCCTTGAAGCAGGTTTCTCACGTCTTTCGTGCTGGAGGATGAGGCTGCACCGCCACGCGCCGCACATGCGATTTGGGTGAACAAAGGATTGTGGTGCACTTGCTTTTCCAACCCTTCCAAAGGCATTCAGCTGCGAGGTTGTCATGATTTTGCATTGGGCATCATGTCTCCAGCAGCGAAAGAAGAGAGATGCCACTTCAAGGGGCAAGGAGGGGGTGGTGGGGCGGGGGAGGGTAGCGTCCATCTGGGTCGGTCACCAACGTCTTGATGCCATCTGTTGTGAGTCCGTCGCGGCTCCATCGCGCTTGCGCAAGCGCGCTCGATATTTTTTGTCAGACTTTTGATTTGCATGTGTGTGTGTGTGTGTGGAATGACGAGATTCGATCATTGTGATGCTGTTTGACACATTGTCATCATCATCATCATCACATACACACACACACACACACACACACACACACACACACACACACACACACACACACACACACACACACATCGAGAAGACGTTCAAAGAGGGACAACAACGTGAACATTCATCCATCCTTAGGTGTGACATATGGGTATGACATCGGGAAAGCACCTGCCACGATGTAGGATGCTACTTGGGACACCAAAAGGAGGCACAACCATGTGTGTGTGTGTGTGTGTGTGTGTGTGTGTGTGTGTGTGTGTGTGCAGCTGCTGCATGAACGGAGCCGTTGGTGAGGGGGGGTGGGGACACGAGGAGAATTGACCACTGGATAGAGGAGATGGTTGTGGTTACTCGTCTGGGATTCGGCTCATTTTACAGCTCAAGCCCGGCCTTGAATTTGCAAGACCATTGTTCGTGCTCGGACCCACCGCTGCTAGTGCATTACCCGAAGCGCGCGTCTACCAGTCACCAGCACCATGCCCGCCGTCGGTGCTCCGTACGCGGCGCTGCTGTCCAGTCTCAAGGTGGGAGACTTGACACTCAAAAACCGCATTATTATGTCCGCCATGACGCGTGCTCGCTCCATCAACAACGTTCCCAACGACATGAACCGGGCCTACTACGAGCAACGAGCTGGCGCCGGCCTTATCATTACAGAGGGCGTCCCGATTGACAAGCGGGTAAGTCTTCCCATCCCCTCCTTGTGGGTGTCTTGACTCAGCTGTCTGCCCTGTTCCATTTGACTGCTTCCTCCTTTAACGCCTAACACGATCCACCATCCCTTTGTCCAATCACACCAGGGTTCTGCTTGGACAGACGTGCCCGGAATCTACACGGAAGAGATGGCCGAGGGCTGGAAGCGAGTAACAGACGGCGTCCATGCCAAGGGCGGCTTGATCTTTGCCCAACTGTGGCACATGGGTCGCCAAGCACACAGCTCGTTTTTTGATGGCAAGCTACCCGTTGGCCCATCCCCCTTGAAGATTGAGTCACCCAAGGGCGTCCCCAACGCGGACGGCGAGTTTGTGCCGTATGAGGTTCCCCACGCGCTTACCGTGGACGAAATCCAAGAAATTGTACAGGTATGCTTTCCCTATCCATTCAGACAGACGCCTACACGCTCAGCGAGCCAAACCAGGGTCTTGAGCTGGCTGCCTGTTTTGCTTCTCCCATGCTTCTTCTGTTCATGCCTGCCTTTTACCACCTCGCCACCTCGCTGCCGCTGCACAGCAATACAAACAGGCTGCCCTGCTGGCCAAGGCGGCCGGCTTTGACGGCATCGAGATGCATGGTGCGTGGTCGGCTTTTCTCAGTTGCTTGGCTCTCCTCGATGCTTCTTCTCTTACCTGCCAAATCTTCGCGCTCACTCCGACTCCATTGTTCTACCTCCTTTGCTCACGATAGCGGCCAATGGATATTTGGTGGATCAGTTTCTGCAGTCGTGCTCCAACCAGCGCACAGATGAGTATGGTGGTAGCATCGAGAACCGTTATCGCTTCTTGGATCAGTTGATGGACGTGGCCCTGGAAGCCTTCCCCAAGGAGCGCGTCGGCGTGCGCATCAGCCCCAATACCAACTTTGGTGGTTCGGGCTCCCCCGACTTTCGTGAAACGTTCACTTATGTCGCCGAGCAGGTCGGCAAGCGGGAAGTGGCGTACCTGCAGGTCCTGGATGGTCTGGCTTTTGGATTTCATGAACTGGGTGAGCCGATGACCCTGGACGAGTTCCGGCCTCTGGTGTCAGAGAAGACAAAGATCTTTGGCAACGTCGGCTACACACCCGAGTCGGGTGAGGAGGCGATCACATCTGGTGTCGCGGATGCCATTACCTATGGACGTTACTTTTTGAGCAACCCCGATTTTCCTGAGCGTCTGGCCAACAACTGGCCGCTCAATGAGCCCCCGGAGCATGCAGCCTGGTTTACGCCTGATCTGCCCAACCGCGAAAAGTATTCCACGTCCTGGGGCTACACAGAGTACCTACCCTATCCCGAGGAGGCCAAGCAAGCAGCTTCAGCGTGAAGAGCATGACGTGAGCGGGCTTTCTTCCAGCTCTGATCAACGCCACTCAACTGTGTTGGGTCGGGCGGCGTTATGTCCTTTCCAGCTTTCGCCGCATGGGCACATGTTGGTCCTTTGATCTGTTAACCGTGTACATGTATGTGCCATTTTTTTTACTGAAATTCAATGATGAAAGATGCCCTCGTTCGTGTCGAGAAATCGATCACACACACACACACACACACACACACACACACACACACACACACACACACACACACACACACACACACACACACACACACACACACACACACACACACACACACACACACACACACACACACAAGGGGTGCGACAGACATGGAAGACCACTGCCCAGGGTCAACCCAGCACACTAATTTACCACGTGTAGACTGAACGAGAGTATGAAATTGTAATCGTGGTCGACTCGAGTCGGGACCTTGTTTCAAATTGCACATGGCCTCTGCTTAATGCTGGTAACTGAGCCATTGGAAGGTGTCTTGCAGTTGAAGTGAGGGACCGAGTGGCTACTCGGTACGCAGGATGATGTGGATGCCCGAATCTGTATCGACTAGGTCTGAGAGCTCACCCACTTTGAGGGCGAACCTAAGAGAGGAGGGCAAAATGTCGGCCAGCACCTGATCAGATTCATAAACATCGACTCGGCCGATCGGTGTTGGAGCGCAAGCACATGACACATGACAGAAAAACCATCCACGTACGCTGCCTTTTCAAACGCCTCTGCATTGGCGGGGAAGCATGGTGATGCAAGACAAGTGGTGTGAGAGCCGGGTGTCATCACATCCGTTGCTGTCGGCGAAGAAGACTACCCAGGGTGCACCGACCAACGTACTTTGCATTTGGCCACGGCCAAAGGCACCGAGGTCACCGCCCCGCTTTGCGCTGCTGCAATCACTTTCCGTCTCGGCGATTTTGGCAAAATCAGCTCCCTGCGCAATGGCTTCTCGGTGGCCTGGGTATTCAATAACACAAAAACAGATCAGAAGCGTGGGTGCCAAGAACAACACACGGTGTCGAGTCTTCGGCTGTCAGCTCAAACAGTTGCGAACGGTTGGGCATCCATATAGAGCGCGCAGGCACGCACGCTTGATGATTTCGATGGCTTCAGCCTTAGTGCGGGTGATGGTATTTTGTCGCCAGGAAGAGGGTCGGCGAGAATCGCGATGCTTGGCTAGGATGTGCGATGCGCGCACTTTGCTCGGACCACTGGACTGATGGACCGAGAAAAAAAAAAGAGAGAGAGAGAGAGAGAGAGAAAGCCAGTCAGGCCAAATGTGTGCCTGACAGCTGCAGGAAGGAGCAGCTTTGGGCCGTGTGCACATGATGATGTACCTGTGCAGTTGATCCTTTGCTTGAAGCCGCTGCTGTGGGCCGCTCCCACACGGATTCCTGCGTTGCTGTATTAAAGTAGTAGCTACAAAGTATCAAACCGCCAGGATCGAAATGCGACAAGTGACTGACAGGTACACGGAGGCATGACTAGGCGTTGCAAAACTACTCACTATTTCCCGGGCTTGGACTTGCTTTCTTTTTGAATCCAGCCCGCGGGCAGCTGAGTGTCAACCTCGCCTGCAGACCAGTGCGAAGTTGTGAGATGGCCAGGTGCAGTCGGGCCATGTGCAGTCCCGCCAAGCAACCAGCGGCCGGCTGACGTTTTTCCCGCTTGGACGCGCCTTCATCCGCCATGATTGTTTGGTTCAAGCCTGCCGCTGTCAACGAGATGAGTGAGGCACCTCCCAAGTGCCAGCGCGTCGTGCCGAGTGCGAGCAGACACGAGAGAGAGCGCGCGCTAGAGAGAGAGAGAGAGCAGGGCTCGCGCATTTTCAATCATCTCACTGATTTCGCCAGCTGGGTTGAGGCTGAGATTGGAGTATGGTCACTGAGTTCGTAAAGTGCCTTTGAAGTCGGCTCGCACACGTGCTTCGAGAGCAACGTTGTTGGATGGGAAGAGATTCAGTCATCGGCCTGGTCATCATCAGAGATGATTTTTATGGATGGGCTAGCTACAAGGCAAAAACAAACCAATTTAAGAGATCTGGTCTAGCAAGCGCACAAGGACAGAGAAGGTGCTCTTCGTCTACAAATGTAAGACAACAAAGGCTCATCGCCCAAGACGAGCACAACTTTGAATTATTCTAGAGCGATTTTTATCGCAGTTGTTATTGTGTCCTAGGTTAGTCGGTCAAGGTGCGATCCGAGGAGAGAGAGAGAGAGAGAGAAACGTGAGAAGACGACGAGACGGGGGCAAAAGGGCAGCGCTGCTGGTACTGGTGGGCACACGCGTGTCTGTTGGGCATCTGGCCGGGTCCTTGGCTTGGATGATGGTCTTCGGGGCTCATCAACATGGTCAAGGTGGTGCACTTGAGTTTCCCAATGGGACCAATGGGTTCTCATGAGCAATGCTCGTGGTCCGCCCCTTGCCGTTTTGTGTGCACCACATGGCCAAACGCGCGCCTTGCACCGGGCCGTCGTGCCTGGTGCTTGCGGTCCATGTCCAGCCAATGATGCCCTCTGCCATTTCCTTGGGGCCTTTGGAAACTTGTCTGGAGGGGGTTTCAGTTTAAGGGCACGTTTGAGGGAACAGAAACTTGTCATGCCAGCCGACCCCAAGGACTCTTGTGCATGATCGACTTGCGGTCTCTTGTGTCGATGCTAGCGTCAGCACAGCTGGCGCCTGGCTTTGCATTTGTCGGCAGTTGACCTGGTAGAATGATCAGTTGACCAGTATCACTCATTCTTGCTGCCCGTGCCTTCCTTCTTCTTTCCCTCCCGTTCCTCTGTCGGATTGGACTTCGTTTGTAGACACAACTGCGCATTCGTGGCTCACGGCTCAAGGGTTCTTAATCCCTTCTTTCTCGCTGACTCGACCCTTTTTGGGGTTTTTTCTTGACATTGCATTCTTCGTTCTGATTTCCTCAGCGTGTTCACACCATCATCATCATGGCAGCGGCACCTTCCGAGGTTTGTCCTCATCCGTGCCCATGCACAAGACTCGAGTGCACCCTTAAGCCCCTGTGTCGACGTGTTGGATCCTCACATGACTCGGGTCTCGTCTCAGGCTGGGCCCGACAAGCATCCTCTGCAGGATGAGTGGACCCTCTGGCACGATGATACCTCCAAGGTCCGCGATGGCGATTGGAAGAGCAACATCAAGAAGGTGGGTTGGTGTTCTTCGCTGCATGCTTGGCCGTCGTGACGTTTGTTTAGCTCCGCTCGCAAGAGTGTGGCGGCGGTGGGCTGACTGACAGTGGGTTGTGGGCACATAGGTGTGCACCGTCAACTCGGTTGAGGAGTTCTGGCGCCTGTTCAACAACATCAAGAGCTTTGAAACCTTGGTCAAGGGCTCCAACTACCATCTTTTCAAGGTTGTTGCGCGTGCGTGTTTGGTGTCGGCGTTGTTTGAAGCATACTTTTGCTGTGCAGCCGCGTCCTTTTGCAAGTCTGTGTCATCTTCTGACCGGGCGTATATCATCTTGCTCACGCTTGTGGCTCGACTCCATCAACAGAAAAACATTGAGCCTTCCTGGGAAGACAAGGCCAACGCCAATGGTGGCGCATTCAACATGCAATGCGAGGGCGAGCGCTTTCGCCCTCACGATCTGTGGCTGAGGACGGTACGCTTGATTGCATGTCCTTCGAGCGAAGCGTCTTTGCGGGCGAGCCAGTGTCCTGGTTTGCGCCACAATTTATGCTGTGGCTACTGCCCCTTCATTTTCATACTGCCTGTTTGTAGATGCTGTCTGTCATTGGTAACCAGTATGGCGAGGACGGCAAGTACATTTGCGGCGTTTCGGCCAAGGCCAAGAGGCGTGGAGAGCGCCTCGAAATGTGGCTCAACCACTGTGATATGGATGATGAGATTGCCAAGCGCATTGGGTGCGTTTCTTCTTCGTCTTGCCTTGACCTCCGGCCTTTGATGGGTGATATATGAGCCGCGTCGCACTTGCGTGCATGCCATCGACTCACGATGCTTTCCCTATCTTTTGGGTGCGGTTTGGCAGCAAGCGATGGAAGGAATTGGTCGAGTCGACTCAGATGATACAGTTCAAGGTGAGCATGACCGTCCCAATTCTAGTCTGCAACCCCCCCCCCCCCCCAA